TTCATGGGAAAATCAACTCATAATGCTGGTATAAGAGATGGATGGATATTGAAGAAAGAATATTTTTTCATAACTTACTGTATGTAAATTTGAGTTTGCAGTGGTTATCTTTTTTTCTTTCTTTTTTTCATTGCTATTTATGTTTAGGTTAATAGAGGAGCTTAACTCTAGTAACTCCTTTAAGGAAACTACAGCAATTTCCTTCAAATAATTTCAAGTTATTTAGCAAGAAAACTGAACTCTGAAAGCATGAGAAAATATGACTAAGCTTTGGGAGGCAGAAGAGGACAGTGCTCCAAACGTATTTAAAAAAAAAAAAACCTACAAAACCTTATTCATTTAAAGAGCAAGAAAATGAGAGAGACAGAAAGAGGAAGATGAGAACAAAGAAAAAACAAATTAAACATAATGAAGGTCAGAAAATGGAGACAAAGAGAAACAATGAAAAGAGTGAAAGAAAAGGAAAAGTAAGCATATAATTTTTAGGTTAGTGATTCTTATTTATTGTTGCTTCCACTGACTTCCAAATGCAAATATCTGCTTCTGAAGGTATTGGATAGATAGCAACAGAGGTGGAAGTGTTCAGATACCTATGCAAGCAGTAACTTACATGTTGTCCAGCTAATGCACTTCTATCCTTGATATCTACTGAGAATACCCAGAAGGGTGTTAGCTTAATAAATTGCCCAGCAACCACAAATTCTGTAGAAAATATCACATTATTTCACATAAGCTGCTGTCCAGTTTATTTGCTTATATTTTCCTTTCACTTTGAACAGTGTCTGGGGTTCTAACTGGTGACTATATGGTATTAATCAACAATAACCAGCATGCTACTTTGTGTCAGAGAACTAGAGAGTTTGCCTTTTTTTTTTCCCCCACTAGCTGGAGCTATGCACAGTTGCCTCCACCCTGGACTTTAAAGTCCAAGGTTAAAAGATTATATGACGATGAGGCATGTGGTTATAAACTGTAGCTGGATGGCAAATACTCACCTGTGAAGACCTGGAATTAAAATTGTGACATAGGTTCTTGAGTCCCCAGTGGCCTTCTTACACCCCAGCTGGAAGTTTCTATTTGGGACTGAGCCAGGATTGGAATAATTAATACTTTCGCTGTCTTGAGAGGAAATCTGTGTGCACTTGCTTTGTTTGTCTACTTCCAGTTAGTGCTTAATACCATGACTTACTGAGCGTAAAGTTCTTAATGATGATGAAATAGGAGGTACTTTAAAAATCCCTTAGCTTCCAATGCCTCCTGGATTTTTGTTTACACATAGACTAGTGTGACTGCATTCTAGAGCTATGATAGATTCTCTTGGTTATGGCAAGAACACATCCTTTGGGTCACATTCATGCTTCTTGATATGCTGATGGGCCACAGGATGAAATGAGACTGTAGACCTGCAGGTATCAAATGAGTGCCGCTTTCTGAAGCCTGCTCTTGCCCTGGAACAATAACCTTGAGGTTCCCTCTAACCTCTTCTTACTGCCAGCTTTAAAAAGGGCAATGCATTACCCAGCGGTAATGTATTGGTATCAAGAACTCTGTTCAGTGCTGATCATTCTAGTGGATAGAAAGAAGAAGGTGGCGAAAATGCAAGACAGCAAATATAGATGGAAGAATGCTGCCAAGAATGAGAGGAATAGGAAGAAGGACAAACAATGAGGGAAACACTGGATCAGAAATAGAGGTGGTCCTAAAGAGAAGCATGCCTCAATGACAAGGTACTGCAGAAATTGCTAGCTTAAGTGTAAAGGTATATTCCACTCTACATGTGAGGTGTGCACCAAAATCTGTGCTGGGGGTGCCATTATATTTTGGGGGAGTTACAGCTTATCACTGAGACATATAGAAAACATGGAAATTGGCTCTCCTTGCTAGTGACATTGACCCTCTTGACATGGATCGTTGCAAATACAGTATTTTTGCAATTAGCCAATAGTTCCTCTCATAATAATTGGAGGTTGGGAGAGTCCTTGGGGGAAATATTGAATATGATTGTGCTATTCTTGTGCACTTCAAAGGTATGCACTCTTCATCACTGTTGGAGGCAAGACATTGACTATATGACCCTCTGGTCTGACTCCGTAAGCTGCTTTTGTGTTCTGACCTATTTCTCTACTCTCTGTTTTCAGGTCCCTGGTTTGAGATGTACTTAAAAGCACGTGAACCTGTTGTTTTGAATTTTAATGCCTTTATGTCTTTTCATCCTGATCCAAAATCTGAATACAATGATCAGCTCATAAGAGCTACGAACATGACTGTTTCTGCTATACGTTTTATGAAGACCTTCAGGGCTGGTTATCTAGAACCAGAGGTTTTTCACCTCAATCCAAAAAAAAGTGACACCGAGCTCTTCAAAAAATTAATTCGATTTGTGCCTTCTTCTCTTTCTTGGTTTGGTGCCTACATGGTCAATGCATATCCCCTAGATATGTCTCAGTACTTCAGGCTTTTCAATTCAACACGCCTGCCTAAACTCAATGGAGATGAGCTTTATACAGATGAAAAGGCAAAGCATTTACTGGTACTGAGAAATGGGAATTTTTATGTATTTGATGTTATTGATAGAGATGGAAATATGCTGAAACCTTCAGAAATACAAGCGCACTTGAAATACATCCTCAGTGACAACAGTCCAGTCCCAGCCTTCCCTCTTGGGTATCTCTCCAGTGAAAACCGAGATACATGGGCATTGCTGAGAAAGAATCTATTGGACAATGGCAATGAAGAAGCCCTTCAAAAAGTAGACTCTGCCATCTTTTGTTTAAGCTTAGATGATTTTCCTGTTAAAAACCTTGTGCACTTGTCCCACACTATGTTGCATGGAGATGGTGCTAACCGCTGGTATGACAAATCTTTTAATCTTATCATAACTAAAGATGGCACTGCAGGAATTAATTTTGAACATTCTTGGGGAGATGGTGTGGCCGTGCTCAGATTCCTGAATGAGGTTTTTAAAGATAGCATTGGAGAGCCAGCTGTCAGCCCCCTGTCCCAGCCTGCTTCAGTAGACTCTTCTAGAGCAGTACAGAAACTTGACTTCACGTTGAATGATGCCTTAAAAGCGGGAATTACCAAAGCCAAACAGAATTTTGATACTACTGTAGAAACACTCACTGTTGATATGATTCAGTTCCAAAAAGGGGGCAAGGACCTGCTGAAGCAGAAGAAGGTAAGTCCAGATGCTGTGGCTCAGCTTGCCTTCCAGATGGCTTTCCTTCGACAATACAATCAGACTGTTGCTACATATGAATCTTGCAGCACTGCAGCTTTCAAACATGGCCGTACAGAAGCTATACGTCCTGCCTCTATCCATACAAAGAAATGTTCAGAGGCTTTTGTCAAAGAACCATCCAAACATAGCACAGAAGAGCTTCAGAAGATGATTGTGGAATGCTCAAAATACCATGGCTGTTTGACAAAAGAAGCTGCTATGGGTAAGTAGGAATGTATAGAACACTTAAGCTTTTGCACTGAAATGTCTGCCTAAGTTACAGTAAAAATTTGCCTTGCAACTAAATAATTTAATCTTGAGGGAGGTCTGATGCTAAGGTAAACTTCCTAACATGAACAGTAGCAGAAAGCTCTAGTTCAAAATGTGTTCTGTGACCCATTTCTTGATGCAGGAGTGCTCCCACTTCATTATTGCGTGTCTAGATTTTTTTCCGTACCTTAATTTCTCTTTTTCATAGCAGCTTGGCTCTTTGAAGCATTGATTAATACTTAGGGTGTGCTGTACTCTGCAAGTCAACCAAGAACTTTAGTTTTATGACCAAAGAGTTGCTATGCCCTGCAGGCAGATAAAGGTTTTAAAGACTTCCAAACCGAACTGATTCTTTGGCTGTGCTACTCTTGCAATTTTTCTAATTACTTTCCTTTGAATTGCCCTTCCCAGAAGCAAAATTTGTTATATCTTTTCAGTAAAATCAGTAAGACTATTGAACATTTCCCCATAGCATCTAAAATTTGCCTCCTTTGTTGATACAATATCCTTTTCCTCTTTAGATTCATAAATTTAGGGAAGGCCTTTCTCTCTTGGACTTGTTTTAAACAACCTGAAAAAATTCAGGTAAAAATTTGAATTTACTTAATTGAAGAATGTGATGTATTATTAAAATCTTTAACATTGTACTTTTATTTACTATCATGATTGCTGGTCAAGGCCTAGCAATAAAACAGTTAGCCATAGGATAGGGCTTATTCCCTAGCATAGGTGCACTGAAAGTGCAGATGTCTCGATTCTGTAAAATGTTTCCTGCTAAGTTTAAAAAAAAAAAAAAAAAAAAAGCTGTTCTACAGACCTTGTCTTGGTTTTGTGACTTAAAAGCAATGTGATGTCTATGTAACTGAGTTTACTTTCCACAAAACTTAGTGATATCTCTAATAATTGTTACTTTATTTTAACAGGTCAGGGATTTGACCGACATCTCTTTGGCTTGCGCTACTTAGCCTTATCCAAAGGTATTGCATTACCTGATTTCTACCAAGACCAAGCCTATGCTCGGCTTAATCACAACATCATTTCTACAAGCACGTTGCTTAGCCCAGCTGTGCAATTAGGAGGGTTTGGCCCAGTGGTGCCTGATGGCTTTGGAGTAGGATATCAAGTACATGATGGTTGGATAGGTTGCAATGTTTCCTCTTACCCAGCTAGGAATGTGAAAGAATTCCTCCAGTGTATATACAAGTCACTGGATGACATCTTTAATGTTTTAAAGGGCGAAAAGATTAGTAATTAGACATAAAAGGGTTGGAGCACTTTACAGTTGCAGAATGAAATGCAGACCATGTCTTAATGCCCATACACAGTAATCATGGTTCAGTGTGGCTGAAACTGCCCAGCTTAATTCATTTATCTGTGTTGAACGTGGATACTGTGTAGATTCATTTTGAAATTTTTATCCATTTTGAAGAAATCAAGTACAGACCTTGGATGCATGTTTCAGGAAATACAAACGCTCACAATGTCAAAATTAAGTAACAGACCCATCATGTGTTCTTCAAATACATTCTTTAAAGTAAAAAGCAATAATTATGATGTTTAAGAACTTGAACATCTATGCTTCATGAGTTTCAGGCAGACAACAGCACTGTAAAACCACTCTTAAATGGTTTGGTTTTAAAACAATATATGCAGCTGTTAAAACATGAAAGAGGAATGGTAACATTTGCACTTTTGCAGTAAGTTGCTTACTAACTTGTAACACTTACTTTTTTCTCTAAACTTGAATCAGTGTCAGACTCATTGTGCCTCAACTGCTTGAAGCCTTTCTGATGTAGAAACTTTTTGAGAAACAAAAATTGAAGTGGGAGGCTTTAAGTGACCTGAAGCCAACAATTATGTTGTTAAATCATCTGGAAAAGACTGTGTTGTAATAAAGCTATTAATAAACACAAAGTTATTTTATTGCTATCAAAGTAGGCAGTATGGGTAATTCTTCTATCAATAGCTTATGTTTGTTATACGGGGTGTATAAGGGTTGAAAAGAACTTTATTGAAAGCATGCTGCAATGTTCACTGTCCCCTTGCATATGTGAAGTCTGTCCAATAATCTGCTGGTTTTGTTTTGCTACTGAAACCTGTGCTCTTGTACCTTAAACAAACAAAATCACTGAGCTTCGGCTTTTTTTTTTTCCCCTCAAACTTTCTCCTACTGTGGAAATGCAACCTCAGCAGAAGCATTTTCCTCTATTTTCTCCTTGCTCTTGAACTTGACTTCTCTTGTAATCTGAGTATTGATATCATTTATTGTAGCAAACGCCAGAGTTCTAGTGCTCAGAGATGCATCGTTAATGCTTTGGGGCTTGCTGCAGAAGTTCCAAAGACTAAGGCTTAGCAGAACTCCCTGAAGGAGAGCTCGAGCCTAGACACCAGTAAGACTTAGCGATGCTGAGACTGAGATGAAACTGATGCAGACATATTCCTGGTGTGCTGTTCACAGCTGAGGATCTGCCAGCTACAAAGAGGGCTAGCAGCAACAGAGGAGGGGACCTTTGCCAGTCAAAAGCTAAGCTGCTCAAAAGAGCTGGGACTCCAGCGTAAATGCCCTTAATGTGGGAAGCTGCCTTTTGCACAAATTTGTTATGGTATGTACAAGCTGAACGCCTTTGCCTTTTGAACCTTCATGACTTCCACTTTGTTTTTCTTCTGGGAAGATGAATCTCTCTCTAGCTGAATAGCGCAGCAGTGCTTGCTTCTGCACCCAGTGTTTTAAATAGGTTTAAGTAGTGTAAAATTAATGCAGTTCTTGTCTTTCAGTACAGTCCACTGTGTCCTAGACAGCCAAATGTATTAGCAGAATATTAAGTCCAAGCACGGGGGTACAATGTGACTAATGAGGTTCAAAGGCCCAGAAATTTACTTGCCTTTACTCCTCCTTTGGATATGTCAGCTTCCAGATTCTCCCAGTGGCTTTTTCTTTATCAGAGTAAGCATAAGCAGTACCATATCTTGAAGTATGCACTGCAAATGCTAGGAAGGAAAGGGGCATGCTTTAAATACTTAAGCCAGAGGCTTGTAAAGTTTTCCTAGTGTAAAGTTCCTCTGCACCCTGTGATATGCTATTCTAGCTTAACTGAAAAGGATCATTTAAAAAAAATGTTTTAAACTTACCATGACTGTCCTTGCATTCTACTACTTCCTTCATCCGCCTAAAACCTTTGAAGTAAGTTCAGTAAGGACTACTTTTTTCTTTAAACATGAGAACAACTGGCAAGATTGTGAAAGCACTTGCCATTAAATAGAAAGTCTGTCTACAGCTAGAAATGAAAGGTTAAAAATTAGGTTTACCTAATGACATATTCAGAAAGAGGCGTGTTACATCTTCTGAAAATCAAGTTTTATATAAATGTCAATAGGAGTCAAACTTGTTAACTGTTCTTAGTAAACTGACCTCAGTGTCTGTACTTGAACTTGCAGAAAGCTATTATAAAAACATGCCTTTTGGCTTCAACCATTAGCACAGTCCTTTTACTGTACTCATATGCACTTCCCAATGCTAGCAGTGGTGAGCAACAAGATCTTACGTTACAGAATCAAATGTGGGTACTTCCTTGCGATAGACTACTTAAAACTTTATGGCAATGAGCTGTCTAAATAGTAACCGCTGATATACTAGTTAAGCTAGAATCCATCAGGTCCCTATATATTTCTGTTATTCCCAAGAAATACAACATTAAGAAACTGACACGGTTCAGTGAAGCATATATCTGATATCCAGTTTGTACTGAAGTCATCTCAAATTGTTCTGTGGAAAATATTTTATTAGATGTTCTGGTGACTGTAAGTAAAACTTACTTAGGTTTCCATTTCTGCAGTACAGCCATGTGAAAAGTAACTCCAAGGAAAGGGCTTCTCTAATGTTACAGTTTCTTCATTGAAGAGGAGCATGCGAAGGTTTGTTAAGGGTGTGAGCTTTAGCATTTTACAAACTTATGGGTAACTTCATAGATTCCAACAGATTCCTTTGTTTTTTCATCATAGTCATTCCAATCCTATAGGAATTAAGATTTCACAGTATTAGTCACAGAAGAAAGAATGCAGTAGTGTGAAAATCATAGACTGGAATTTGAACTGAAACTGAGCCTTACTCAAAGTTTGGGTCTTACGCTTCTGTGGGAAGCACTGTACAGTCACTAAACTAAGTTGTAATTTCTAAGAAAAGCACGACTACTGACCTGAAATTAAAGTGGTTTCAGTCTCAGTGTTTTAATTTAACACACAAAATTTTCTTTGTATGTAGCCCATAGCCTGTAATGGGCAAGACAGCAACCATGGCAGATGAAAGGATTATCTGTCACTTACAATACCCTAGTCAGGTGGGTCAGCAGACAAGCTGATCCATGCCAAGTGGGATACCAAGGAACAGATGTGACCTTGAGATTCTTGTTCACAGCCAAGGAAGACTTACAATACTGGAATCATTAGCCCAAGCGCTGAAGGATAGTATTTATCTTACTATTTAATATCTTTGTGCAGAGGAAAAAGTACGGATACCAGCTTAGAAAAATCAGTTCACTAGTCTAATAATCCCCAGTCATTTAGTATTCCAGGAGTTTTCCCCTTAGGACTCCTGAAGGGCTTAAAAGAGAAGTTGCATCTCTGCCTTTGTCTGCTGATGAGATATAAAACATGTACTTCTAAAATGAGGCCGCTAGTAATACTGGTTTTTCATATTTGACATAGTTCCTCTTTCCATTTATGACCTTCCTGTACCTACATGAAAGAGCAGAACTAGCTTATTGCATTTGCAGGGTGTGTATTTTGGACTAGGTGACTGGGGGAAAGAAAGGTAGCTAATTAGATTTACTAATGGAACTAAGACAACATACCTTTTCTAACAAGTTTATGTCATTGAAAGGTGTGCCAGACTCTGCACCTTCAGCAGCAAATCCTGCCTGCAACACAGTTGCAATAAGTTTGTAAGAATGAGTTGTACCAGGAAAAGAGCTAATTATGATTACTGAAAGATGTTTAAAGAAAGTAACATAACACAAGTTTTTATTGTATTTCCACTAAAGTAGGGAGAAAAAATGGTCAAACTGTTTCCTGCTCAAGGGTCAGTATAAGGTTGTGACCCCCCCCCCCCTTTTTAAACTAGAAAATTCAGATCTAACCAACAACAGACTAAAATAAGGGAACACTGCTCCCCTGACTACTTTTCCTGCCAAAAAGGTACTTCCATAGACAGGAGTTTTAAATAATGTCAACTCGGAGTTTCTAAGTTTATCCAACTGCTAATAGGTTTGATTCGCATTCAGAAGCCAGGTAGGCATTTGTTACAAGGTAGCTTTGTATTAAATTTGTACCGCAAGAGAAAATAGAAAATGGGGGAGAGTTTTCAGTTTTAGGTTAAATATCAGAATCCAAGCCACTCTGGAAGGAAGCAGCCGATATGAAATTTAGGTACATAAGGGACTAACAAGCCTCATGCAAAAGAGGGATCAATTAGCTGAATGAACAGATTAGCAATACCCAAACAGAATCATTTCAAAAGGGAGAGATCTTCACTTTTGTTGTTTTTTAAAGAGGTAAAGGAAAGGATATCACCAGAAAGGAAAGAGCAAATCAATGGGGCATAGCACAAGAACCCAGCACACAAACTACTGATACAATCTTATGGAAGGTTAGAAAGAACATCTCTGTCATTGTAAGGTTTTCCAGTTAAAGCTATAAATAAAATTTTATTTGTTTTAAAAATAAAATTCTCAGCCATGTCGGTAGCATACAGCAAGATCTCTTATACTGACATTCCTAAATGCAGAATTTTACTGAGAAGTGGTTAAAAAGCAAAGGTAATTTCTTCCTGGTTTTCTACAAGGGACCTACACCTGCATTTTCTATGGAGAAATCCCCACTAGTACCAGTCAGACATTTAACTGTGTGCAAAGTAAGCTGCACACTTTTGAAGTGTTTTGTGGAAGGTTAAATACCTAAGACTTAAACACACCACAGTGTGCAGCAGACATAACAGGAGAGCTATCTGCAAGGCCCAGTGTGATATGGCCTTTATATATTTGTTAGAAGTCTATCTCAAGGGATCTAGTAGGAGTATGGAGGGAGACCAGCATCACAGTACAAAACGCAGAGCTGCAGTAGAACAAAGACCACCCCCCCCCCAAAAAAAAAAAAAAAAAAGGCAAAGAGAAGCTGGAGAAGCTGGGCTTTTGCCACCTGGAGATATTTATCAGCACTCCAGGGAGCAAGAAGCCGTGTGACTGGAATTAGAAGCTTCTGTACCAGACCTGCTCAGTGGGACTTGCATTCTTACAGCTTTGGCGTCAGAGCAGATACTTACTTACTCTCTGTTGAAGAGATCTGGGCAATGCAGTGATTTGTCTGCCCTCTGCTGACTGGCTAAGGACCAACAGCTAAAGCATAAATGCATGCAGAAGCCTCAAAGATGCCTACTGACTTTGTAACATAGTGGATTGTCATGTTTTTATTTTGTTACCAATGTACCTTGTTTTTGCTGCAAAGCAAAGAAGCTGAAAAAAGATTTAAAGAAATTGTATAGAGAAACCTCAATTTTTTTAGTTGAAGCATTCACTTGTGGGATGATAAAGAGAGGGAGGGAGGGAACAAAACAGTCTAGGAGCAAAACAGTCTAAAAGCAAAACCAAAAATTTATTTCAGATTCGCAGCGGATGTATTTACTCAAGCACACTTAATATGGATAAGGAACTGGGGGAAAAAATGGTTCTTGCCTAGTTATTAGAATATAAAAATACGTGGTTCAGATTTAAGATAGGAAAAGAGAGGTTTTGTATCAGCGAATCAAAGGATATTTTCTGCTCTTTCAGACTCAAATGAATTTTTTTTTTCGAGAAGACTACTATCAAATTAATGGAAATAAGGCAAACACAAGCATTAAGCTATTTTTTACTTGACTTCAGGGAGGTTTGTGCTATGCCTATCAAAAAATAAAAGAATGCTACGGTCAATCCTGCTTGGATTGGCCCTGATCAAAGGCCAGATCTAAGACTGTGCAGAAGCCAGATTGGCTTGGATCATGTCAAATATAAAGCAGTTTATAGACTTGTAAGGAACTGTACTAAGTCTCTATACTTACTTATTCAGGTATCTGAAAATTCACTGAAATATCTGTGCAAGGATTAAACAGTGCTCTCTCCAACAGAGTGCAGAGGCCAAACTTTGAGAATATTAAATTAAAAGCTTTATTACAGCTGTGCAGTCTTTGTTCTGCAGAACTGACCGATAAGAGTAAAAATGACAGGTAGGATATAGATCTATAAACACCTCCTGCATCTTACAGTCTTCTCAGACTTTACTTCAAGTGGAAGTTTCTAGGTCTGGCTTGCAAAGCTTTCAAGCAGGAATAAACATTTTGTTTCTCAAAAAGATTGGCTTATTTTCAAAAAAAAAGAAAGAAAGAAAGAAAATAACAACTCTTCCTGCAGCACAATGCACCAGCCTTTTTATTTATATCTAATTCCTTGCAGGATCAGCTTTTTGGTTTGTTTGTTAGCATAGTGTCCCAGTCTGAGGGAAGGATAAGAGAGGTTTATATTTGTCAGTCTATTTACACCTAATCCTACTGGAATAATAGGTTAAATATAGTAGGGGGTTAGTTGCATACAGCATGACCGTGCACAAGCAAATGAGTTGCTGAGTGCTGCCTTGGCCCTGAAGAAATCTTTTAACATCGAGCCTCGAGGCGTGCTTTGCAACACAGGGTCTTTAATTGTCTTCAGTCATCAGTCTGGGCCTGAGCAAATTTCACAGAATCACAGAATCACAGAATCGTTTAGGTTGGAAGGGACCTCTGGAGATCATCTAGTCCAACCTCCCTGCTCAAGCAGGCTCCTCTAGAGCATATTGCCCAGGATCACATCCAGACGGGTTTTGAACGTCTCCAGGGAAGGAGACTCCACTACCCCTCTGGGCAACCTGTTCCAGTGCTCTGTCACCCTCACAGGAAAGAAATTTTTCCTCAGGTTTACATGGAACTAAATTTCAAATGGAAAAATGCTAATGTTCATTTCCTGTGGCTTTGGTGATGTCAAATCCCAAAGAGAATTTGATTTATTCAGAGGCCATGTACTGAAAGATGTTCATAATCTGAACTTCATTTACTCTTTGTAACATACCAATAATGAAAGTGGAGCTCTCCGAAATGTGGCCAGCTAAACTATGCATTCCTGTGATTCCCGTTTGGGAAAAAGACACCCTTTTGCAACAACTCCTGCAATGAAGACCTTTCCAATCAGTTCCAGTGAGCAGTGCTGAGTCAGCTGTAAGGCAATTCAAATGCAACTACAAAGGGTGTTTAATTTTAGAAATTACTGGGACACAGGCATAAAGAACCTCAGAGCTATTAGGCTTCATGCTTGTGTTCTATGGAGTAGGATGAAGTACAATAACTGTGGAGAGGAAGAAAAATTGGAGAGGTTCAGGACATTCCAGGAAGAACAGTGCTATATCAAAACAGTGTGATATCACTCTAGAGTCTGAGAAAAAAAACTGAGAAACAGGTAATGAATAAGAACTCACCTGCGGTTGAAAGTCGACTGGTTCCAGACCTCGGCATTCAAACTCCACTATTGTCTTGAACTTCTCACTGTCTTCAGCCTAGAATCAAGTGAGAATGCCAAAAGTTTTCATCTAACAGAGAAAGACAGTGGCAAGTATTAGTCTAGGAATTAATTGCTTTAAAGACAATTCATCAACTCTGATTTCCCCAGTGACAGTAAAATCCTAGGGCTGGTTTAATAAGTGATAATTAACCAGAATTTCTTAAACAATCTGCCACGAGGAAGCCTTCAAAAGGATCGTGAAAGGAAAGGAAAATGAATACAGGCAGTATAATTGCGTTTAATTTGAATGAGACAGCGTTTTTGTTTTGCTTGTGAAATATATCACAGATTATTACATTCTTCAGACTGAAGTGGAAAGGGTAAAATCATTAATGAGCTACTGTTAATTGCAAATTTTTATTCCTTCTTTAAACTGTGTGCAGGATTCTGCAAGAAACAGATTTCGATCAGGGAGCATAACTGCTTTTTGTGTACTTCAGGGAAGAACATGATGGCAAAAATGGAGAACTCAAAATATCATTAATCCTTATTTATCTTTCACTTGTGATATAAAAGAGAAAACAAACTTACATTGTAAGGTTTGATCGTCTGGCTTAAAATATCTAAAAAAAAAAAAAAAGTCAGATGTGTAAAAGTGAATAGCGTTATGTCTTTAGAATTTTATTCAGCACAAACCAAAGACCAGCCTCTTCTCCTTTGGAAAAGTCTCTTTATACAAAGCAAAAGAAACAAAGTAACCAAGCAGTTCTTCCAGTTAGTCCCTCAAAGGGTGAAACTCAGTTCTTCTCACTACTCCCGAGAAGTTTATGTTAAGCTGTCTTGTTACCCTACTAATAAGGAAAATAGCAATGCACGCTTTTGTAAAATGACATTAAAGATAGGAGCTTTGCTCATGCAGAAACCTGAAATCACCAGGAGGCCTGAGTACACATAGGCTTTAAGACTGAATCCATGGGTCACTATTCTACAGTTTTTGTCTGCCTGTCTCCAGCTCCATCCCTGAAACTGCTCTTGTGGAAATTATACAGAGTAGCATTGAACATACAAATACCTTGCAAAATTTTATATTTAGTTCACTACTGTTTTATGCATTTCATAGCAGTATTAACTAGTTGACTTGCCCATCATACACATTTCCAGTATCACCTTTCCTTTTACGCTACAATCATATGTATTTATGTGCATATATCTGTATAACGTTTCATCTCAATCCCAGCGGAGAGAAAAACCTAATTAAAGAAGGTTGTAACGGACAGAATGTAATGGAAAAAAACAGATGTGAGGACCTGGGTCACTCAATCAGCATGCAGCTAACATCTCTTTAAAATAAGTTATTTGCTAGAATCTCAAGGAGAAAACGAATGGTGACACAACCATTTGTGAACGGTACCAATTTTCTATCTTAAATGGGACTCTGATTTCAGGACCTATTCCAGAAAAGCTTATATGTGATAATAACAAAAGGCCTCAACATTATTCCTTAAAGTTTATTTTTTTAAAAAAGTATCTAGGAGACTAAGACAGAACTCAGTGGGATTACTTGTTTGGGAAAGTAAAGCGCGTGCATGTTCCTCATTATTGTTCCTCCTAACAGAAAAACAGGACATCATACAGTGAGACTCAAAGGCAAAAAGCTTATTATGCAACAGGTAACACATGCTTACACTGTAGGATATAGGTTGAATTCCTGGAAACAGGTATGCTTCTGTGTGAAGATAAGCACGTGCTGGGCAGGAAATACCTCTCTGATAATGAAAGTATGCTTATTTAGGGAAATTATCCCTCTGACCTCCCCTCCTACTCCTGCCTAGGACGATCCAGGGCTGGACAGATACTAACGATGTAGTTACATCAGGCTGCTTTTTTTCTTAGAGGTAAGAAGCATTTCATATCTCTGTCACCTCTAGAATTAAAACAGTGCTAATATCTAATGTGATCAATTAAGGACTTTATTTTGCCTATTATGTTTAAAAAGCAACTACTTTAAATGGGATCCTGTTCATTAACAGCTTGTATTACTACTGCAGCTTGCTGTTGTGAGTAACTAACTAACTGTGAGCAACTAAAAACTGTTGCTAACTGTTGTTAGCAAACTGATGTGCTGCAAAGTTGGCAAAGGTTGTTCCCACTGCCCTGCTGTGTTGATTTAACTTGATATTTTTTTGTTGATGACCAGCTGACCTTGCCATCTCCTTCATAAGCATGATGACAAGTGCGCTGCGGACTCAAACACCAGTGTACAAAGGAAAAAAAATCCTGGTGAATGCTCTCACAAGCAGTTTCAAGCAAAAATTGGGAACTAGGAGATGCCCTGTAAATGTCTAAGCACATACCAATGGAGTTCTCCCTGGAGCACAGCTTGCATTTCTGCACCATAGTGGCACTGCCCCTGCCTCCTTTCAAAGGAGCGCTGTCCTAAAAACATGACAATGGAGACGACATTTTTTTAACTGCATGGTAGCTGAGCAACTGGAAACCTCTGCAAAAGTAAAATAGTTTTTACAAGAACAGTCACAAAGTTTTTAAAAGATTTTGCAGTAAGAAGGCTTTTTAAACTAGAGAAATCTATAACTTAGAAAGTCATGATTATCAAGGAATAATCCTGTTTTAGATTTATAGTAATGGATAACTGAATAATGGATAGTTATGACCTGCCCATATAAACATTAATACCTCAAAATGCATTCTTAACATTCAGTTGCATGCAACAAAAAGTGATGATAACTCTGATCCTGCACCCTGTAAACAAACAAATCACTGTGACTCCCTGCACACAATGCAGGACTGAGGCCCACAAGAGCAGAGGACGGATGGTTCTGTGTTTGGGACAGAAGACTGAGGTTCCTAAGTGAACGTGCAAAGTTGTTCCATCTCTGCCTCTGCCCCTTCAGCTGTAAATAGGATACTGCTTGCGTACGTCAATTTGTCCGTTTTCACGAGGCATCTGTGATGAGTTTAAGAGAAAGCAACAACATAGCTTGAAAGGTGACTTAACCCATCCTTCTGCCTTAAGCAAGACCAACTCCAGCATTCTTGATAAATACTTGTCTAAAGTGTTTTTCAAGTCCTCCTTTTATGAAGTCTCCACAGTCCTTTTCTAATGTTACTATCATTAGAAAGTTTTTTCCCTAATATCTAACCAGAATATCTGTAGATGCACTTAAGCTCTATTGCTTCTCGGCCAGTTCATCATGGACGACCAATGACTTCCTTTCTTTCTTCTAAAATGTTTTAAAAGATTGAAGATTGCCTTCACATGCCTGTTTGTCACCTTATATCACCTACATAACACCACTGATCAGAGGGTTAGAAAACACGACCTCCTGTCACCTGGTGGTCCACATCCTCCTCAAGATGCAGTACCACAATCTAGGTACAGAACTCCACTGAGGCACTACCAATGATGAGCAGAGTAGAAGGATTATTCCACATAGCCTGCAATGGCTATTTCTGATTTTGCGTGCTAACATATTTGTCTTTTTGGAATGGTATGCCATGAGCCAAAACCTTTCAGCTTTTGATCCATTCTAGAAAGGCATCTGGTTTTCCTGATAAACTCCTTTGTAATCCATTATTTTCTGTTTAGTATCATCAGGTAGATGATTATTCCTAAGAACAGAACCCTTGTCTAATCCCTGCCAAGTTTTATCCTGCTTTTTCAGAGTTCCCAAATGTTAATTCAGTGTACTTAATTCACCTTAAGTGGCCTAAATGTCTCCAAAAATTTTCTATCAGCATCAGGGATGCAGGTTACAGACAAAACCTTATTCTAACATCACTTAAAGATTTGCTTTCAATTGAGATGTTTTACGGACTGAAGGCTTTTCAAACAAGATTTAAGTCCTTTGTCAGCAACAGTCACCATTCCAATGGCATATTTCAATCGACAGTCTCTAAATACTTTTCCAATTTGAAATATGACAGCATTTCCTGTATGTATCTATCTACTGTATATACTAGTGCATATACTAATGTACTGATGATACCTGCTAGATGAAATACGATTTCATCGTTTGTACAATTCATCACATCACTGATGCTAATATCCATTCCATGTCAGAGGCAGGTTTGTTTTCTAATTTTTCTTGTGGTGCCGATTACAACAGGAAAACATACCATTAATCGCAGATATTGCCATTTTTCAGAAACTTCACCACAGTTCCCACATTTCAGCTGAAAAACAATATAAATCAGAGAATTAGAAGTTGTCAGGAGTTAAGAGGTGATGCAAACCCTTGGGATTCACAAACCCCAGTTTTGCAGGTGAGAGGAACCAACGAGCGCTATCAACTGCTATCTCTTATTACAGGTCCATGAGCTGGACTTGAAGTAGTACACAGGCTTGCAGGAGCTGATACGCCCTTCAAAGCGTATGGACAGCAAACGTTATGCAGCACAGTCACTGAATAACAGACAGGAATAACACACCTCACCGTTTTTCTGAATTACCAGCTGAACACCGGGGGCACCGGTTAACATTTGAACTGAAGAATTTTGATTAAACTAAAGTATAACGTTAATATAAGTATTTACATTTATGTCTATTTATATACAATTATATTGTGCACCTTCAGGTACCAGCGGAAATCCTCGCCCTCGGCCCGCAGGCGGGTGATGTTCTCCAGCGTGGCGCGCAGCTGCAGCCCGACCCTCTGCAAGGCAAACGGCGGGGAGAGGCCGGTCAGCCCGCTCCGCTCCGCTCCGCTCCGCTCCGCTCCCTCTCCCTCTCCCTCTCCCTCTCCCTCTCCCTCTCCCACCATTTAAACTATTTTATTGGCCCAATTTGCAGGGCAGGCTCACAGATTTTTGCACTGCCAGTAGATTATGACGTG